CACTGAGATAGCTCAGTGGACTAAGCACCTGCTTAGGCAAGTGCAGGGAGCAGGGCTTGATATCTGTCACCTCATGCCTCACGGGCCCCGACCCCTGGCGCGCCAAACCATCGCGGAGACTGGGCATGATGGCACACCCTTGTTTTTTTGGCAGAACCACGGATTGAACTCAGACCCTTGGGCTTGCCAGGCAAGTGCTTATTCTACTATTCTCCCCAGCCCCCTAATGGCACACCCTTGTAATCCCAGTGCTGCTGAGGCTGAAAACAGGATCACTAGGAGTCTGAACTGCATAGTAAAACTCTGTACCAAATACATAAAAAATTAAGGAAAGACACATCTAGAGTATAAATTGGAGCAGCCCTTACAGTTGTAAAGTGTCCCCTTGCTCTTGCTGCTTTGTTTTGGAAGAACAATAGGGCTCTGCCTTTCCTGATAAGGCCACACCCTTCTCTCTGACCCTGTTTTATTCTCAGTCCTGATTGGCTCTCTACCCCCCCCCCATGAGGCTCCCTTGGTGCCTGTAGTGATGTTGATTCAATCTGGTCACAGGCTGGGGGTCGGTGGAAGATCTGTCTGCCCCCCACCCCCAGCTCTGCTAACCTACCCTGCTTAGGTACCCTCCTTTCCCCCGCCTGAGGCCCTCCTCTTCCAAGAAGCCTTTGTTCTTTCAGATTCCTTTTGGGGTTCCCTTTTGCTTGTGGTCTGGCCACATCATTTGTCCTTAGTTACATATTGACCTACACTAATCTCTTCTCTCCACCCCTTGTACTTCTCCTGTCTCCCCCTTGGCACCCAACACTTGCGGAGTCTGGAGAACATTAAGGGTCAGTCCTGCTGGGGAAGGGCTCTTCTAAGGAGCTTGAAGATCTGTCCTGTACTCATCTGAGCGTAGAGAGCAAAGGCTCAAGGGGGCTCCAAGAATCTGCTAACTTCTCTGGCTTCCTGTGCTGAGACTGACTTAGCTAGAAACCACCAGGGGCACCAACAATGGCTCTCTTCCCAGGGATGTGTGAAATGGAGTTTGGTCGATCTGTCACAGGGGAACCTTTTCCAGGGAAGAGAAATCCTCTGTAGACACTATTTAAAGAGACAGAGCATGCCAAGGCCCCTTTGCAGTCCTCTGGCCTTCTCACTGAAGACAGAACTAGTTTTTTTCTCACCACACCGGACACTAGCCTTCCAGTGCCTCTCACGGCATGCTCCAGCAGCCCAGGTCTTGTGTGAGGAATTCAGGGACCAAAGTGGACCTGGGTAAATGACAGGCAAAGCCACATTCCCCTAGTTTAGACACTTAGAGATTTATCAAGTTCTCTCCAGGCTCTCTTTGCTTCCAGGCTGACCCTGAGCAGGCTGGCTGGTTGCTGTCCCCACTCCACTACTTGCTGGGTGTGAGATTTTAGGTCAGCTCTCAGCCGATGGCTGCAATGGACTCCTCTGGGGAAAGCACTCTGAGTCCAGGTGTGAAACATGGCTATCCCTAGCAAATGACCACAAGTAATGTGAACTTTGTGCCATTGTTGGAAGGTCTCCCCCTACCCCCCAGTTTTATTTGGTGGTGGGGTAGCTGGCTATAACCTTTGGTCCAATTCTAGCAAAGTGCTGGGAAAAAGAGGTAGAGACTGGCACCCTGAGCCATTGAGAGCCAAAGACTCCAGGTTAGTGGAGGCCTTCAGGGGGCCTCAATGTGGGGCAAATGAAGACAGCGCAAGGGGAGGCTCTCTGAGCACAGAAGGCTAGACAGGATAAGCGGGGCAGGTTACAGACAATGACTGCCTGAGACTCCAGCAAGTCATTTCATCTAGCAGAGCTGGGCTCTCATCGAACCGGGGATTGAACTCAGCCCCTTTCGCTTGCCAGGCAAGTGCTTATTCCACTGAGCCATCTCCCCGGCCCCCTGGGCTCTCATCTTGAGTCCACTGGTAATCTCAAAGGGGCAAGGTTTGGATAGAAAGCAGCAGTTATTTGGATGAATTTCCCTGCAGGGGTAAAAAGCCCATCTGATAAACAAACGTGTAGGGGAGACAGCTCAGTAGAATAAGCACTTCCCTGGCAAGCGCAAGGGCTTGAGTTCAATCCCTGGTTCTGTAAAAACAAACAAACAAACAAAAAAACAGAAACCAAAAATGTTAGTTCTCTGGTTTTACTAGAGGGAAGGCTATAATATAAAAGACAACACATAGCCTCACAACTGCCTCAGATCAGCAGTGAAGCCAACATGGATGTAAACATAAACAGAGCTTCTGGATACCATCATTTTATACTCTAGCACTTCCTGAATACATCAGCTCCCCAGACATACTAAAGTAATGAAACAAGTCCTCAGAGTTAATCTACAGTTTGGAGACAGTGCTGCCTCTCCAGTCAGCCTGGACCTGGGAACTGGGGTCTGTGCAGATCTGGGCCGTCCGGGCAGGCGTTTGGCTTCCAGGGGCTGCCTGGTTTCCTGTGTTCCACGGCTGTCTTGAGTCTTGCTTTCCAGCAGGATGACTGTGTCTCCTCTGACCCATAAAACACAAACCTACCTTTGCACCCAAACGCTACCGTTCTCACAGGAAGCCCAGCCCCACAAGGAAACCTGCCCACTCCCTCAAGAGAATTCAGTCAGCCTGGCAACGCCTTTCTCCACAGTCACTCAAATCCTCAGTCTGGCCACTTAGAAAACAGAAAAAAAGCTACAAAGAAAATGTGTTAACCATCTAATACTCTCCTCCCTCTGGAAGTTTCTGATGTGTTATGATTCTATCCCAGTGGTTTGCTGCTGTGCTAGGTTTTTTACTAACCCAGACAAAATGCTGGTGTTCAGCCTGGCTCTGCACTCGCCGTAGTACTTCAGGCAGCAGAAGTGGTGTCAGAGACCCAGGATCGCACCTGTCCAATCTCTACAGCCTCCCAGGAGCACGCAGGCTCTCCAGGAAAGCTAGGTTTGCCAAGAAAGTGGTGGTGGGAAGAGCAGCAGTGAGGCGCTGTCCAGCAGAAGGAAGGGACAGAAGGAGCAAGCCACCCTCAGGGAGGGCCACTTGGAAGATCTCTGTTTCATTAAATAGCTCTAAGAACAGAGGTGGGTCAGACAGGGAGTCCCAGACCAAGGCACAGAAAAGGTTTGAAATGTCCAGGATAAATAGAACCACATGGGAGTGGAGAAAAGCCAGCTCCATCCCTCTTAAAAACAGTAGCCATGGGCACAAATATATCTATATCTCTCTATATATTAATATCTGTACATTTGTCATCTTTTAAAAAAAGGAAACAAAATTTCCTTGGCACCTTATGGTTGATTTCTTAAAAATGAGGTGATATGTAGAAAGGCTTCCTGTGTGCACCCACGCACACACCTGCTGCACACATGTGCTAGCGCACACTGAGCAGTGCTACACATACACATCTGCGCCTACACATGTGCCTGTTGGAAGGGCAGAGTCCTCTGCCCAAGCCCTGCAGGTAGGGGCCACTGTCAGCTCCCCACTGTAGTTGTTTCCAGGGGTGCTCTTTGCCAATGCTCTTGGCTCATTGTCCTTGGGGACCCAAAGCCCCTACCCGGTGCTCAGGGGCAAGGGCAACAGGTTCCATCTTGCTACATCCCCCAGAAGTGTTGCTGCCAAGGGAACCTGTTTATGCAGGTGGCTGCTTCAAATCACTTGGCCCTGCTCCTGTCCAGACCCATGCACATCTTCCTGTGCCCAGAACAGCCTCTGCCCCTAAGATAAATGTACAGAAATGAGCATAGGTCAGAGCCAGGCCTTCGGAAGTCTCCCCAGTGGGCCGATAGGGGAGACTAAGGCATGTGGGGAAGGGGAGGTCCAGTCCTGATCAGAGGTGTTTTGGCAAGAGTCTGGAGGAGGGTGGACTGGTTGGGCAGCAGTGTGGTGAACCTGGACCTTCTCAGGGCCTCCAAAACTCCTGGGCTGTGCCACTCAGAGGTGTGGGCTTCCCTGGAGTAGGGAAGTGACAGTGTTCTGCAGGGCCACAGCCACCTTCTTGGAGGTCTTGCGCAGCAATGGGCTATCAGGGTGGTGTTCCTTCAGGTGCAGAACGTGGCCCTCCTGGCTCTCGGATGTACAGCCGCACTCCTCGCACACGTACAGCTTGGCCCGGCGCTCCTTGTATGCATATTTCTGCTGCACTCCATGGATCTTCTTGAGGTGAGACTCCAGGGAGCAGCGCTGGGTGAAGGCCTTGTCACACAGGCTACACTTGTAGGGCCGCACGCCTGTGGAGGACAGAGATGGCATCAGAGACCGACATCAGAGTCCTGACAGGAACTTCAGCACCCGTCATCAGCATCCAGACCCAGAAAGGCCAGGACAGGTGACTGGGACAGAGGGATAAATGAGGCCTATCTGGCACCAATTTCCCAAGTGACTTGCAACCTAAAAGTCCTCACTGATAAACTTGAGAATTTCACCCTGACCCCTGAGATGCCCACCCTGGCTGTCACTGCCAGGGAGGCTCCTAGAGTCTCCTCACAGCGCCTCAGTCAGACAGGGCTGAGGGGTTGCCACCAGCCACTGGCTCCTGCTTACCTGTGTGGGTCCGGACATGTCTTTTGAGGTCAAATGTGTCATTGAAGCCCTTCCCGCAATATGTGCAGAGGTGCCTCTTGACGTCGTTGTGACACTTCATATGGCGATTCAGCATGCGCTGGTAGGTGAAGGCCTTCTGACAGATGTGGCAGGTGAAGAGGTCTCCACTGGAACTATCCCCTGCAGTCACCTGTGGGCAAAGGCTACATTGTATGACTCCAGAAGTTGGAACTGCAGGCTGGGAAACATAAACACAACACCCTCAAGTATCACCTCCACAGGCTACAGCCTTATACCATTCACTCAGCAATGGGTAGTGTGGGGGCTGAAGGAAACTCTGGGTCACTGGTGCTGTTCCCTGTTTGATTCTTGAGCTCCCTTTTGAAGCTATCACACAGGACCTCCTTAACCAGACGGAGAGGGGCAGCTTAACCACAGAAGAAGCTGCAGCAGCAGGCGACTTCACCCTGAGCCATATGGCCTTTCTGTAGTTTCTGCCTATTCATCCTCATTCTACCTTGGCCCAGAAAGATGTGTCCCAGGCTGTAGCACTCCTGCCAGCCCTGAAGTCCCTGCTCAGGCCAGCCCAGCTCTCTACTTTAACTCAAATCAGGCCTGATGTGGCACAGTTCATGTTCTTTTGCCATCCTCTGCCTGTAAATTTTTTTTTTTTTTTTCCACTTTTCAAGACAGGGTTTCACTATGTAGTTCAGGTTGGCCATGAGTTCACTTTGTAGCCCAGGCTGGCCTTGAACTCACAGCAATCCTCATATCTCCGCCTCCTAAGTGCTGGGATTACAGGCCTTTGCCACCACACTCAGCAAATTTTTTGTCATGATGGAAAGTCTCAAATTTAAACAAAAGTGGAGAGACTGCTATTATGAGCCTGTGCTTGTCATTCAGGGGCAGTCTTACTCCATCTCTACCATCCTCCCTCTCATTCTCTGGGGTCATTCAAGGTAATTCCTAAGTGCCATCAGACACCTTTGAAAGTGTTGTTGTAAGTGGCAGCAGAAGCTCTCCGGGTATGAGTAGCACAGGTGTGGCTCAATGCCAGCACAGGCTCTCCACCCTCACCTGTTAGCATCTGGAGGTTACCTGTTTTCTGTGGCTGGTCCTGTCATTAGCTACTCCTTCGGTCATTGGTCATTCCACACCTCTCATTCAGCACCTCTCATCTGGTTTTGCTTATAGCACCCCTGTGGTTAGCTGGTCAAGACCTCTGGGCCAGGACTCACTCCACTTCATTGGCTTCTCTGCCATTCCACCCCCTCCGTTCTGCTCTCCCTACTCACAGGAGCCCAAGGGGTGAGGCAAGGGCCCTCAGGCAGGGAGTGACACTGTGACTGTCGGGAGGGTGCAAGCTGGCTGGGACCAATGGCTAAGCACATTGGATCACGGTCTTGTAGGAGCTTCACACATTTGGCCTCCAAAGACTTTAGGGGGAGGGTACTCCACTGCCCACTGTCTCCAGCCTTCTGGCACACTAGAGGGGCACCCTTCTGACAGGTTTTCACCGGTGGAAATTTCCTAGTCCTAGAGCTCACAGGAGTGCAGGGCAGCTAGGGCCAGCATCCTGTTGGTGTTGTCTTTGGAAGCAGAGACATCTGTGCTGCCTTGTGCACAGTGGGGTTGCTCACCCAGCCCCTGCCCTATAGCACAGCTTTGGATGCTATTGGGCTGGAGACAGTCCTGGGCAAGCTTGTTACTGCCAACTGCTTTAGGGACAGCAAACCATGGAACCAACTCCAGACCACACAGGATAAAGCCTAGATGGGAGCTCAGGAGAAGTACCCATGCCAGGCTCCCACCTCACTGGTCTGCCTGGGACTTCTGTGTAAAAAGGTGGCTCTTGCTATAGTTCTCTCTCGTTTTCTCTCTCTCTCTCTCTCTCTCTCTCTCTCTCTCTCTCTCTCTCTCTCTCTCT